GCTGAGTTTAAGTTGTCCATTTTCCATAACGGATTTCCTAATCCCTTCTCCGGTGTTCCTCATGCAAAATATGCCACAAAACCGATATCCATTAGTCTGATGTACTCGGAATCATCCGATTCCGGCATACAAAGCACCAAAAATGTTCCGTTCATTTATCCCAACAATTGATGAGAAGTAAATCCCTCGGTACCTCTATTCCCTCTCTGGCCACTCGTGCCATCGAACGGCCAAGAAAAGTATTTACCGAGTTGTGCGTGAAATATCAGAATGAATTCCATCAAAATTTGTGGAAAAATCGACACACACACAAACAGCCAGCAGTGTGAAGCTTCAGTCGTCATTTTTACCGAATACATAGCGTTTTGACAGTAACATGGTAACAGCCGCATGAACTGTTTACAAACAGGATAGTTTTACAATCCTCACGTGTGTGTTTCATATCAGAGTCATACGAGGGTGGGAGGAGACAAGCTACAACTGGACCGCAAATACAACACGAACACAATAGCTCCACGGAAAATGGTGCGTTATTATGGGGTTGTCCAATAAAACGGATAGACCGTTCGGAGGAGTCATTATCGTGTGTGTGTTATGGGCTTGGAGGATCGGTTCCGAAATATGTGATGCAATTCGCAGTCTGTCCCTCCAATGGTCCCAGTCCACGAAGAGATGTTCGATCGACACTCGTTTGTGCCTTACCCGAAAGCCAGATCAAGTCTAGTATTTTCAGTCGTTTCATAACCTATGGTGAGCGCACATTGGTCTGAGACTAACGTTTGTTAGTCTTAGGTATTCCCACGAATATGTCAACCAACCATTGGAAGTCCATTTTAGAATTTACATACTGTACTATACTACTCTAAACAAATGTATAAAGCAACAGGATAGAGATAGGTTAAACAGCAAAATAATTTCACAAATGCCTAAAAGATAAAGAGTTCTGATGCACATCAAGTTGAAGTATGCCGGTGAACAAAGCGTATTAAATCATGTGGACAAATCCTCCAGTAGTATTGTATGAACACGAGTATTATATGCGTTTACATTTCACTCAAAAAAAAAACTCAGAAATCGTGCGTCACGATCAAAACAGCAAACTTTCCACGCAGTTCGCTGACTGCTTTGTTTCTGTCCCTCGGAACAAGGATCGAGTGTTGGCTGGGAGAGTTTCCATACAAATCAATCGGAGCGGGGATCAAACAAAAACGAGATTGGGTGTAGCAGTGGGATCGTCAGTAACAAAGGTCGATGTGCGTGCGGTCTTTCATATTTCTCTCCGCAACCTTTCTTCATGCACTGATGTCAGGATCATATAGTTTAACAGGTACAGCCACTGATCGAACTCGTGCAATATGAATCCCACTTAGAAATACATTTCAGTTGTCGATGTCATACGTGTATACTGATAGCTATCGGTTAAGAAAGTATTTATTCAGAAATTTATCACCCACAGTAATGTTCTCTGTGTGAAAGTACCCGAGTCATATATATATATATATACATGCGTGTGCCCACATGGTGTACCAAACAAATCAGAGTATAATGATATCTATAAAAAAGTGACATGATTTGCTCGTGCGTGTGATACCTCCAGATTGCCCAAACCAAGACAGGTGAATTTTTTTGAGGAATGCACAACCAGAGCCTCCGGTTAGCCCAAGGCTAAACCGCGGTGTTCGAAAACCGCAACCCATTTGGGGGTCCGGTGTCCAGTTTATCGGATAATGGGCGATTTGGACGAGGTTAGATGCACAAGGTATCCAATACATCTCGAGCCGGTTACCACTGCCACAAAAAGGAAGGTGTGGACGTGTGATTCTTATGCCTCTTTTTGGCAAGCCTGGCGTCATCTAGGTGAACTTTCAGTGGTTTACTGACCCGGATTGGACTCCTCGTCTTCATTTTGATGGGAAAACACCTCTGTCTCGGGAAGGCAGTTAGTAGGGCTTCCTCAGCAGAAGCTATTTAAAACGCTTGGTCGTGTAGGGGCTTCTCGTGAAATGCAAGGGAAGAATGACTTTCCACAGTCCGAGACACCCACTCCCGATCATACCCAGAAATATCGGTATGATCAATAGTAGATAACCGCTAGATCTGTCTTTGTTTTGTGTACATATGTTTTGTCAACTACAACGATTACCGTATAAACGACTACCATTCCGCCGATCCAGTCTATTTGTAACCTCTAACCAGCTAGCTGTCCTAGTGATCCTTGCTGTTCCCACTCAGTAACCAAGACTGAGCTGCATACGACAAATATTGCGTTAGGCCTCCTATTCATTAGAGATACGCCACTGTTTGACCCCTAGTTTCTTCCTTTCGGAGCCGAGGGGAGTTAATGAAGTGTGAAATTACAGATGTACCGGTGCTTTAGCTAGTACCATGATGAATCTTTTGTTGTTAACGTTTCACAGAATGATTTGAAGTTGGATGGTTTTCTCACTGCCATAACTTGGATGTGTCGTGTAGGTGCATTTTGCTTGAATTGTAACAATTAACACCTTTTCTTTAATCTATTTTTACTACTCGAGTTTTGTTAGTAGGCCAAATCGCTTTCTATGGCTTGTGCATACATTTATTGTCCCTTTAATAAATAACAGCCCTCATATAGTCGCCGGAAACTTGAGTCATCCTGGCAACACCTCCTTGTTACATCATCGCTGTGACCGATTTACATTTTCCTTCTACTCGGGACGTAAATTTCATCACCAACTATCCTGATATGTTTACCGTTCAACCATAGAATCTCTGTTTCTACTAGTAATTATCACACGCAATAAACAACTTCTGTACTACACACGCCGGAAGTTCACTCAATCCCAACAGATAGCAAATTGTATTCTTTAACACAGGCATTTAAGAATGATCCTGTTGGATTTTACTTCGAATCTTCAATTTAAATTACTGTTAGTTTACCACAAACATTCATCTCTCGACACAAAGGTCTAATTTGCATTCCTATGTGCATTCGCTTAAACATGTTTTTTTTAACCAACCCGTTTCTTGAATAGTTATTATGATTTCATGTTTGTTTTTCAAGTGGGACTAAAAAAAAATACTGGACACAAGTGTTTTTTCCAGAATTATTTACACTTAGACTGGATAAAATTTTCCTGGTAATACACTACCAACTTCCTGGGTTTTGTCATTCGCCAAGTGTGTCCGGTAATCTTTTGTCAATTTGTTGATATGATTACAACACAGGAAGTCTATTTGCGATACATGTCAGATTCGAAAAGCGGGATGACCGGCAGGGACCGAAAAACCGGTCGTGTGCTACTAGAAAAAGTTCATCTGGTCGGTTAGCTACTACTGACTGTAAAATGTTCAACAAATGACGTTCGAGCCCTATTTGTTTTTAGTTGGTGATATCTAATCCACTTAGACAATATCGAATCATTGGAATGATTCACAAATCTAGGATGGGGCCCAATCCATTTATGACTGGATTTTAGCTATTTTCGCTTCAAATACCGTGCCGCAGTATGATCGGGATCAGTTACATCGTCTACCTATCATATGTTTGCTGACATTGGTCTCACAAAAGATATCACTTCTGGATTTCCTGTTATCAGTAAGCCTCTTCCATGGCGCTGACTCGTACCGACCTACTTGGTCACTGATAGTGAAGCGAGCACATGGCCCCCGTTGCAAGGGTGTCACATAACCGTAGCTTACACCAGTCTGTCAACCACTGACTCACCAGTTTCCGATTTCCATCCTGAGGTAGAAAATCGGAATGTCCATCACACTCGTTTTAAAACCGAGTTAGGTATGTGAGGTGAATGGCGAGGGGATTCATTTGGTCTCCGTGTAAATTTCATTTTGTGATATATTTTCGTTAAAATAAAAGACAATTAGACGGTATTTTGGTTTTTCATTCGAGTGCCGTCTAGATTCTCAAAAATGAAGAGGATCGCGCATGTGGCGACGGAGATAATATAAAAATATGTGTGTGCAATATTTTTGTCGTGTCATGGAAATCATCCATCCACGATGAAAACGTACTTCTTATAAGTAGCCAAGCCTGTATGATAAAACTCATCGTGGTTAAAATTCGTTTGCATGTATGCGCAGTTACCCCGAGGTTGTGCAAACTTCGCTCATGGTTATTCAGTTCTGATATCAATTTTCTTACCAAAAAGCATGAAAGCACATACTCCCCCCCTCCCAAATAAAACAACCAGACTATGTTCGACTAGAAAATTCTTCAGACTTCAATGGGGGGGGGGTCACAGTAGACTGGTAATNAATCATTACTCTAACCACTCAAGGGCTAGAGACAGTTTGGCACTCTGGATGGCAAAGTAAGTCTCCATCGGAATCTGACTGGGGATTGATTGTACGTGATGAGACTGATTGATGGGTCAATGAAGTGTGCGACCACGAAAAGATTGTATTTAGTTCCATGGTATTGCACTATTCATTCTTGTTTTTTCCCCAATGATTGACCACTTCACGCTACAAGACTTGAGTTGGGAGATCCTAAACAGTGGTACTACCCATTTAACTATTTCCACATTCGATTGTCGGATGGAGTACCAAGGTACAGATGAGCGATTGTACGCTGAACTGAACTTTCATCATGTTTCGTTCATTTGCGGTCTTCGCAAAGAATCTCACCGGTAAATTTTTCAATACATAGATATGTTATTCGAATTGGTATTGACACACACGGTACATAGCATTTGAAAGGCTCATCGGGCTACCTGCTTTCGAACGGAATGCACTTTACAGTGCCCAAAGGGATATGAACGATCAAGGAAACAAGTGTGTTCTACATAACAATGACCGCGAGTGAATCGATGAGGTGGAAATAAATAAATAAGGGCAAAGTCAAAAATAATGCATTTGGCCATTCACTTGGCAACAGGCATGGAAGATCGGGAATGAAAAAACATTTGGGGTGAACGAAGAACAAATTCACCGAGGCGATGAAGCGAACAAATCTGGAGCACATGGTGTGGTAGGACACCTACAATCCGATCGGGTATCGTTCAGCGTAATCTTAAATAGATCACATCACCATCTTCCAGATTATAAAAGCCAACCTCGCGTGTTTCCGCATCCATAGGAAGTTCCGCATTGATTGCTTGATGGCGTTCGCCCTGGGCGACCAGGTCGAAAGACACGCGTGGCGGGAGTTTGAACAATCGCCGAGCAAGCATTTTCAAATGGCTGACCGTCATTCGACTGTGTATACGTCTCACGATGCCCGTATCGTCCGGTTTTGCACAGCCATTGCTTGAAGGCTCCAATTTCAGAGTTAAATTGACGAGGCCTTCTTTGATTGAACGAGTGACAAACTGGAGAATACGAATTGGTAATAAAAACAGGGAGGGGGGATCGGGAGTTTAAGGCGCTCTGCATTATGCAATACAAATATGCGAACAGTGACAAATAAGGTGACGATATGTGAATAAAAACAACAGACTAACGAATGCCGTTCTCGGGACCACCCGGATTTGATCATCTCAGGTGGCTCGAAAGATGCAGGCGCTTAAGCAACACCAATATCAATCACTCAAAAACGGTCTTTTCATTTATCTCAATTTCCAATAGCAATTTGTTAAGTAAAAAGGTTAGTTTTACTTAAAACTGCATAATTCTCGAGTATTTTGAATTTCCTTTTACAATTTAAATATTTTTTGAAACCAATTTAGCTCTTTCTGTCCACCTCTGGTTTCTGGTCGCTGATTGATCAATTCAGTAGGTTTTATCACTTTTGGCATCAATTCTCAAGGTGTTTTTGTTAAGACACCGAAACAGTACATAAGCAGAACGAATCGGCCCCTGGCACAACGGATGTCTGAACACATTCCCAAGTGGTTGGTACAATCGATGACGCAGCAAAATCTTAGAGGTCAAACCGATAAGAGAAATCCAGGGTCATTAATTGCAAAACATCTCATGGCAACTGGACACATCGTTGACCCACAAATGTCGTTCAAGCCATTATTACGTAACATGAACCTAAGGATTTTGGCGTTTAGTAAGGCATTGCTAATCAAGGGACGTAACCCAATCTTGTGTGCATAAAAGTTGCTTATACAATCAGTCAGACTGCCATNCCCCACCCTCTCCCCCACTTCCCTGACTATTGTCCGTTTTACCACTGTAGTTACCAAAACTTGCTTGTGTAAATACCAGATTGTTTTACGTCGTAGCGACTGAAGAGATTAAAAGAAATGTTAACATCTCGCGGTATTTGTCCTCTTTCGGTTCTAACGAATAAGCAGATGAGTTCAAATTGTAAATCCGGTTGGGGTTTTGTGTGTCAAGTACACGTTAGCTGTTTACCGCTTTCGAAGCTGGGAGAAGGCTACTTAATCTTGTTGTGTATATTCTGTGCTGTGATCGTGCTTTTGAGGCTAGACGATTTTCGTGTCCATTGGGATATGTGCTCCACAGCGTTCGGATCTACCTCGTATCTCTGCGTGTCTTTCCGCTCTGAGATATCGTGCAGGTCCTCGCCCATCAATATTGTGAGTGCGATTTGTATTGTGTTGTGTTAACTTTCGCTGGATGCGCAGTGTGTCCCATATCGATACTATGTATTGTGTTGTGTGTGTGT